CTTCAGGGCTTGCTTGTAAAGGTGGGCTGGCGCTTGGTGTGGATGCTCACCGACCTCTGGAGCTACCTGCTCTAAGGACAGACCTTCTGTGGAGACCACAACGGCTCATGGTGCCATCGCCTCGTGCTGCCAACGGGCTCTGGTGGGGCCGGGTAAAGGAAGGGAGCAGCCTCAGTGTGAAACTGGGGAAATATGGCCTTCAGCCGAGGAGGATAAATAATGACAAAGAGGATGACGGACACAGTGCCACGTTTGAGAGGAACAGACGGGAAGGTGCCTGGTTGCTGTGGCAACAAGGCCGCTCTTTCGGAAAGCTGGGTTTTTCTTTCTCTTTTCACCTGCCAATCTTACCCCCACGTCAGCGCTGTGCCGCTGCGGGAGACGAGCGGTGACATTTACACTCCCACTGACAAGCTGGCTCGGTGATGGGCAGCTCGACGGGAGAGCAGCTGGTGTCAGAGCCCGAGCAGAGCGGAGGGGAGGGTCCGTTCAGGCAGCTAGCACCATTTGGGACCTCATGATTATGAATGCTATTAGAGCAGGAGCTTGCACAAAACAGGAGACAAAGCCTCGGTGTGGCGTGCACCATCTCCTACCCTTCACGTGCCCCAGGTCAATGGAAGCGACGAGATGCTGCTCCCACCCAGAGAACCTCTCCGTACGTCCTGCTGGGAGAGGAGAGGAAGCAAACAAGAAAAGGAGAGGACAAGCAAAAAGTCAAGCAACACCACAGGAACAATTTCACTTCCTAGCCTCGCTCATACCAGGCTGTGTCATCGGCGGTGTCCCCAAAGCGTTCCTCAGTGCCCTGCTGCAGCTGCCCATCTCCTTGGCTTCCTGCAACAGGGGCTCACGGGGAGAAACCTGACTGTGATGCAGAGGTTAAATGCAACTGCTCTCCCCATCCCAGCAGGCTTGCTCACTGCTGTGCCTTGCTGTGCTTTCCTTGGCCTTCCCTGCTGCTGGAAGAGACAACTTTCAGTCCAGCCCCAATTGTCCAAGATAGCAATAATGGTAATAATAATGCCACAAAGCAAACACAGGTGAACTACAGCAGGTCTAAAATTAGTTGTAGGAAACATTGGTGAAGTAAATTGCTTTGGGTCGTCTCCTTAAACTTCCCAGTCAGTTTGGTGCTGATTTTTCTTTGAGAAGAAACTGGACAGGAAGAACCAGCAGCCTTTCCTGGCTGCCAGAAATCCCTGGCCTTGCAGCAGGCTGAAAAAGTTCCCTGTTGGACCATTGTCCCCAGGCTGGGGGTGGAATTACAAAAATATCGTGGCCAACAAAACTTTAAACTCATGTATTGCCACGAAGCCTGTTTTTTCAAGTATCTGTGGCTGCAATTCAAAGATCCATGTGGAGTTCCTGATGCCTACTTGCGTTGATACATTTATTTAAGTGTTAATAGGTTTTAGCTTCTCTGCAGCTTGGAGAGCCTTAGTATCTTGGAGATCTCCACCCCTCTATCAAATCAAGCTGAAAGTATAAGCTGGAAATTATTAGTAAGACAGACAAATAGGCAGCTCTACCTCCGTCCTTGTCCCCATCCATCCCTTCATACATGAGCTAATCAGCCACTTTTCATTAAGGAGTCAGGCTTAAAGATTAGGATGTCAAGGAGGGCAGCCCACCTCCGGTGGCTTTGTCCATCCTTCATGCTGGTGCAGCCCCTTCAGACTGCCTTTGAAGAGGCAGAGTACATGAAGTGTAACCCAGTTTTCTCAGAGAAATTGATCTGTTTTTCTAAATCTTTGTTAAAAAAATATCCCTACATTTTTCAGCTGGTACTTATGAGTGTTTCCCAGTAATCTGCAAAGAGATAAGTGAACAAAGGTACAGTCAAGCCTGGAAATAAAAAATGTATGACAGCAGATAGTAAAAGACCAGATAAATTATCCTTCAAATATGGAAAGTGCAAAAATTAAGCCTATATTTGCAGAAATCTCTGACTACAGAGAGCACAAAGGAAGTATTGACAATATTACAAACTGACCAGCATGTGAAGGTTACACAAGAGAGGAACCAAAGCTCTCCACCAGTGGAGACCGTCACATCTGCAGCGGTGTAACACGCATAGTGACAGCAGTGAACCTCCTGGCAGCAACGCCAATCAGTGAAGCATGGTAAATGAGATCACTTACAGAGATTTTTACAGTGACCAAAACTCTGCAAGGGAAACCCCTAACCAAACGTCAGAGGGTTCAGCTTGGAAAGTTTCTCCCCATGGCACTGGAACCCACAACACATGCTCCAGCTGGGCAGAAGGCTTCACATCTCTGCATAGACAGTGGGACCAGATGAAGGAGAAGCATTAAAAAATATTTTTTAATCATTCTTGGCAGCAACACTCTTTTCTTCCTATTGAGAGAGAGAAAAAAAAAAGAAGGAAAGAAAGAGAAAATTCCAAGAAGTCAAGTTCTGTTATGGGAGCTTTATATTTTTAAAAACTGAAATGTTTTCATGCTTGGTAGGTCAACTTTTTTGCCAGCGGATCCTAGTTCTCCAAAGGACAGAATCCTTTGGCAAACTGTGCTTGCCTGAAAGACAGTGTTGGTGCCTGATGTACTGCTCTTGACTCAAAATCCTCCACGTTCACATTGGTTTTGGACCTTTTTGACACTGTTCCAGTATAGTTTTCTGCTTTTCCAGTTTGTCCATCCCAAAAAGATGCTGAGGAAAGTGAGTGAATCAACTGTCCTAGAAGGGCAAGGAACAGGCTGTGCCACCCACCCATCCATGTGTCTACGGAGTAGCAGGAGACACCATGAACTACATAAAGGCTTCCTTCCCAACCGAAGACATGTCTACAGGGCATAAATATTGTTCTTCATCTGCATGGCTACATCTCAAATGAGCTTTATGCAGTTTTTATCCATCATCCAGTGAGCAGAGCTATCAATGCTGGTCAAACCTTGGTCATGCCAACAAGGCCCGCCCTGGGGAAGCTGTGCTGGAAGTAGGTAGCAAGTTGATATTGCAAGGCAGCAAGAAGCATGGAGCAGGGCACCTCAGTCTGGTTGGACTATAAAGAGAAAGCCTGGCCTAGAAAAAAAAGCCTGGTACATGGAGATGAGCATTGGTCCTAGCCCTGACCCAAAAAATCTACCTGGTCAGCATGGAGGATGGGGCTTGGAGAGTGGCACAGAGCTACATGGAGGTTGGATGTGGGGACTCAGTTTCCCTGATGGTGAAATGAGTCACTCCGAGACTCGTCTTCCCCAGAGATCCATGACCATTCATTAGGCATTGCAAAATCAGAACATAGATGCTGACTGTGAGTAGCAGTCCATTAATAGCCCTATTTAGTGCGAACCAAATAATTAGCTTAGACATGCATCAGCGGGTCTTGATTGCATATGAAATAACTGTCTTATTACACTGAAATGAGATGTGTTTATGAGGACAGCTCAGGTGTCACCTCAACCTCAATATCGGAGAGGAAAGGAATTTAAAAAAAAAAAAAAAAAAAAAAAAAAGAAAATCCAGTCATTTCGATGTGTTGCTCAGCAACAGAATTTGCGGGGGAAACAATCTAGGAAAGAAAGAATGAGCATTTCCAAGAGAGCGGGTTATTTCAGGCGAGACATCAGGGACAAGCAAATGTCACACAGGCGGAGAACATTTTTTTTTTCTTCTTTAATCAATAATTTAAACTAGGCATTTTGGGTAAATAAGCATTTTAAGTTAGATGATTGAAAAACGGCGATCCCAAACCTTTACAAAGTGTCACATTGCTGAAAAAATGTTTATTTGTTTGTGTGAGGGAAACATTAGATTTACTAGACACTAAATTAAAAATTGAAAATGCTCTTAGAAATGTCACATGTTCATTTAAAGAGCGAGATGATGTAATGCCAGCATTGCTATATTGTGCAATGTCTCTGCCGGAGCAATCTCATATTAATTTTGTTGTTCTCCTTCCCACATGCCCTCCCCTCCCTCCCTTCTCCTTTCTCTTCCAGGACAAGACGAGCGCTCTGAGTCTCAGCAATGTGGCGGGGGTTTTCTATATCCTCATCGGTGGGCTCGGACTAGCCATGCTGGTTGCCTTAATCGAGTTTTGTTACAAGTCCAGAAGTGAATCAAAGCGGATGAAGGTGGCAACCCATTCCCAGGCCTTTCACACCTTCTCTCTGATACCACCCCATCTCCAAAGCTGCCTTCAGAGACGGATGCAGCCCAGACCATGGGTGGAAAGCCAAGACATAGGGATAATGAAGTGACCTTATCACTTGACTTGCTAGAAAGGAATAGAAGCATCAGGGGATGCTAAAAGAGGCTCAAGTGGGCCATAGTGGGTAGCTGATGCAAGATCAGACGTGGCATAATGCTAGTTCAAAATCCAGATATAGAGCAAAATCATAGCACAAATGGTAACAGGAACACATTGCCATTCCTTAAAATCAAAGAAAGCAGACTATGGCAATGTGTGCAGCATGGATGAAGTGTGTTGGGGTTGGTGTGATATAGCCTTTACTGCAATAAAAAAAAAAAAAAAAGTCAACAGCAAGATAAAACTGGGGTAGTGCAGTAATGAATCAGATCCTGTTGTTCCCTCTGCTGGCATCCTGCTGGCACCATTTGCAGGTAGGCAGCAATGATAGATGCTCAGAGCATTTGCCAGATTTCCAGCCTTTAACCCCAGTTGGACAATGTTCTCCCATGTACATAAGTACATGCCCTGTAGTGGATGATGTGGGGTCTCCAAATTCAGATTTATGGATTCTCTTAGAGAGAAATCGGGCCCTGAGATCTCCTGAAATGTTTTATTTCTCCACTCTGTCATGTCCTTGCAGAAGTGTACTTCCTGTGACCCAGGAGATTCTTTTCAGCCCTAATTCTGGTCTGCCCAAATTCCAGTGTCATGTCAAGAGGGATTAGATTTGAGAGCCTTGGGAATATACATTTAATGCAGGATCCATGGAACAAGTGTGTTTTGACTCAGATGACTAGCAGAGGTTATCCCTTACACAAACATCGTTTTGCACGAGGGTGCAGCAGGATCTGTGCTGTAACAGTAATGCATCCCATTTCTTCCTCATCTTGACCTCTCCCATGAGCATGGATGTCAGTATAGTATACAAAATATGCAGCAAATTTCATAAAATTTAGAGAGATTTTCACTTCCCCCAGCACTGAAACATACCCAGAATCAAAGGAAAATAAGCAATCATTCCTCTGGGTTTAATGTCACCATTTCACAACATGCTTAACGTTTTGTCAGCAATAATAACATTTCTCATTCACTGAAAATGTGCAATAGCTCTTTTCCCATTGAGATTCAGAAAATTCTACAGGCTGTGAGAGGTACACTGAGCTCAGGGGTAAAATAAGGTATGCAATTAATGTCCCTGAGTATAAAAGAAGTAACTTGTAATTGCTGTCTACAATGTAAAGTGAGGTATGTCACAAACACACTGTGACAAGAGTATCACTATGCAATAGCTCCATAGCTTTAGTCCTAAGGAGATTTTGCCCTGGTGTTGGCTGCTCTGTGTTACCCAAAATGCCCCACTAGCTCATGTCAGTGTTGGCTTGCAGTGATTGTGCCATTTTATAACCAGCCACCATGGGAATTACTTCTAATTGGTGTTATCTGGTCTCTCAGCCTCCCTCCCACCATCAGTGGTCCCACCCCAAGGGCATTCTGTGGAGCCCAGTGCCCAGAAAGATGTCCCAAATCCCCTTCCACAGGGCCTCAACCCTTCCTCTGCCCAGCCAGCCCAACAGACACCAGGGCGAGCTGCAGATCCCACCAGCACAGGAGGTGGCCGCATGCCTGGCGAGCCACTAAGTGACAGCTTCAGCTGGAATAGCCCTTCCAGATTTAGCTGTTGTGGATGTTCTTGACCTGGGCATCTCAGATCAAAATGGACGGGAGTGCCCTTGAATGCAAAGAAACCAAAAGAACTTCATCTCTTAGTTTAGTTGTTCGAATCAACCAATTTCCATAGAACTCGTAAAGCAAATGTTTTGGACGGTATCTGGAACAGGAAGATGAGATTTGGTTTCCTGAATTAGGTTTGCATTTCCTGGCTACCTCAGTTATCTCTGTAGACAAAAACAAAGGCTCATGCTCAGCTTCTCACACGAGGAAAGTTAAACATATGCTTGCAGTGAGTCAGAGTCCACCACATGTAACAGAACAGGAGTAGTAATAGCATATCTATGGGGGAAGTGTATAGAATGATCCACTGTGGCTGTTCTGATGTTGTAGGGTTTGAATAGTTTTTACATATGGCACATATGCTTTATACCCCAAAATACTGCTGTAACGTTTAATTTTTAATGTGGAAAATGTGAATTAACAGATCAGACGCAGTAGAGACATGCAGAAAGTGAGAGTGAATGGAGACAAGGAGGGAGAGAACAGTAACAAAGACAACACTGGTTTATATTGTAATTTCTCCAACATTGCTAAGGACAGGGGGAGACCCCCCCGTCTTTCCTAAAAAGGGTTTTTGTTTAATCCCACAGCAATCAATCAACGAAGCCATACGGACATCAACCCTTCCCAGGCCGGCTGCAGCAGGAGGCAGTGGAGAAAACGGACGTGTGGTCAGCCACGATTTCCCCAAATCCATGCAGACGATCCCGTGCATGAGCCACAGCACCGGCATGTCCCTGGGAGCTACGGGATTATAATTGGCCTTTTGACCCATTGCCTGGGTGAGAGCAGGGGCAGCCCAACTCCACCCCCTCCAGAGCCAAAACCAAACCCAACACCAACAAGACAAATGATGATGACAGAAGGGACAATTGGATGGATCTTCTCGAGGAAATCAACTCTATTTCCCTTTTTCTTTTGCAAACAGATCCACCGGCAGGAGAACAGAAACAGGTCTGTACTGCAATAAGGAGAGCGTAATGGGATTTAACAGACTCGTGAACCGTCCCTGATCAAAGAACCACTGGAACACTAATGAGGACTATGCCATTTTGTTTTAACTTGGTTGTTAATAAGTCTTAGTGTGTGCAATATATATATTTTTTCTTACTAATTCCTGTGGTGTCAGGGTAACATCAGCCCTTTCCCCTTTCCCTTCTCAGCCCTTTAATCTGGTTTAGTTCGGGATGCAAACTATAACGTCTGAGCTACTAACAGCAAAAACAAAATCCAACGAATGGCAAGTCGAACTCCCTGCAGGGCATCAGCACTGACCCCTTTTCTCCATCATGATTCTGCCTTCCGTTGTTCTGTTGTGAACTCAGGGTGTGGAGTTAATGCAACAAGGCAGACAGGGCTGCGAATGGCTCTCCCTGCAACAGGAAGGACTTGACACAAGAAGAACCTGAACAAAAAACATGAGGCTGTTTTACAGGGGCAAAGTCATGAGTGAGTTTGGAAACCCCAGGTAATCTGACAACAAAGAGGTAATTCTTCCAGAGATGATGAGCGGCGGTTCAAGAGAAGGTTCGTGTGCCTGGAGAGGAGAGCATCATGTATGGCATACTAGAGCAGATGGTTGGTCTAAGAGCATGGTAGGCTGCTGTTTATAGAAGAGAAAAGGTAAATGCAGTATTCCCCTCACATGCCACTCTCCTGCCTAGGTTATTGGGGGGCTAATAAGCAATTGTGAACCATTTCTTCATTGCTTAGCTTCTGTGTGTGCTCCCTTTTTGGTGGTCACGTAAGGGAACCACCCTGAACCGGGAATAGACCATCACAAGACATCCAGTTCTAGATGGCTGCCTATTAACCAGTAAAACATGCTAGAAGTCACGGGGCTGCAATGGGACTATCCCAGACTTTTTGCTCTGAAATCCCTTTATGGCCATTTTTCTAATTACAAGGGACATTTTTTAGCTAGTTGGCCAGAATAGCTTCCTGGAAGAAACAGCTGAAGCAAACCAAGGAGGAGACCCTACAAGAGCTTCATTCAAGCATCTGTGACATTGGATAGCATCAGGGCTGGCCAGACTCAGCCTTCCTGTCAAGTTGTGGCCTGTACTCTGGGTACAAAGCCAAAAGTAGCAGATTCCTGCTTGTGTATCCTTAGGGAGGGGAAAGCATCCACAAGCCAGGAGAGCAGGCTGCTGACACCAAATTCAGAATTGCAGAAACCCACACTGCTGGGCAGAGAGATGGGAGTCCAGCTACAGGCACGGAGGTCAAAGGGGCAAGGATGGTTTTCCAGAACTGCACAAAAGACTCATTCTGTGAATCATTGGCATGGACAGAAAAATGTTTCCCACCCTGGTGAGCCTGAGACACCTCCCCAGAAGTGAAGGATCCCCAGGGGAGCATCTAGTGAGAGAAGATCTGTAGGGCAGGGACCATGGGGAACCCACTCGGCCTTGTCCCATCTCACAAGTCCATCACTGATGGCAAATAAAGTTCAAAACTTCTCACAGGACTCAACAAATATCTGTCCGGGGACTGAGCTGCTAGTGGAGCATTCGGAACTCTTTTCTCACTCGCTCTCTCTCTTTTTTTTTTTTTTTTCTTTTTTCTTTATTTCTTTTTTTAATTTTCCTGCAACGTAGCAAGTGAGGAGCAGGAAAAGAAGGGATGCAAGTGAAGACAAAGTCATGCAGGCAAATGACTGGCACAGGTCTACAAGGAGGACCTGTCTATACAGCTGTCCATAAATAGAGCTGGAAGCTGCCTGGATGCCAGTTTCCATTAGTGTACTGTGCAGAGCAATATGTTTACCACCTTTAACACCAGCCTGGTCCAAAGCATCTGTTCCATTTACCTGCTTGTCCTGCAACACTTTGGAGACCAGTGAGACAAAGAATCAAGGTCTGAAGCTCAGGCACAGCATGTCGTGTGCCAATGTGCTTTCCTCTCTCCACTACTGCAAGCCCTTGTGATCTCCATCTCTAATCACCCAACACGAGTTCTATCATCAGCTGCTCCAAACACCTCTTCAGGTCACTTTGTGTTGGTTATCACTATTTTTAATCCACTTTTCTGTCCTTATTTTTAACTTCAGTTCTGTGTAAGTGCTAGCGCAGTGGGAACATCCCTCAAGCTAGCCTGTTTCCGTGCCCAGAGCCCTCGGATGCATCCCTTGCCCCGGCTCTTGCCACATCCCGGACCTTGCCACGGCACCCCTGGGTGCTGCACCCTGTCCTCCTCCAGACATGGCCACCGTGGTGGCAGGGCATGGGGAGCCCAGCCGGGCAGGCAGACATCGAAGCGCCTGTGCTAGGACTGGCCGCCTGTGACGTGAAGATGTGAGATGGAGTCTTCAAAGGCTTTCCATCGGTGGTGGGGTTAAAAAAAAAAAAAAAAAAAAAAAAAAAAGAATAGGACAAAAGCGTGGAAAAATGTTAACTTGTAATATGTATTTTTACTACACTTTTCTTAAAAATAGAGTAATGGTAAAACTCTTAAAGACATTGACATTTTTTCTCAACAGGAATCCATATTTAACAGTTTTGGCTTTCATTAAATTTTGCTCTTTGGTACCTGGATCTTTTATTTAACATCTATATTTGTTTTAACTCTCTTTTTTCTTTTCTTTTCCTTTCTTTCTTTTTTCTTTTCCTTTTGGCGATACTGCAAAGGATTTTGCTTTATCAAACTCAACAGTGTTTTTATTTTCACATTCTCTTTTTTCAAGCAACATTTTTACTGGTAATTATTATTTACATAAAAATGAAACTATCAGCTGGAATTTTAGCACCAAGCATCCATGATGCATTTTTCATAGCTGTCCATGCCATTTTGTGCCAGTGCTGGATGTGTGGAAGTGAAAATGATGTTATCCCTCAGGCAATATTACCCAACCTGAATCAAACGAGATTTCCTTGATTATTGCTGTGTCTGACTTGTGAACAGCAGCCAAATAAACTGCTTCAGGTTGAAATTGGGAATCTATCTAATATTTACCCAAGAGTCAAGGAAACTAAATATTCATTGGGTTCAAAGTTAAAGATTTTGCTTCTCGTTCTTGGTTACTTGGTTAGGAGGGCTATTCAAGGATTTTAGCTTGTTTTTACCCAGAGAGAAGACGTAGTCATCTCAGAGATTATTCAGAACCAGCACTGGTCCAAAAATCCACACCAGGATTGGCTTTCCTAGGAGTTGTCATGCTGCTTCAGAGGCTCAGTGGTTTAAGATATTCCTCACTCAATTTTCACACAATTAACCTGATAAATTCCTCTTTCAAGAGTCTGTTGAAGTGGGAAAAAGAGTAGGATTTAAAGGACCACGGACATTTATGTAGCTGCTGACAGCTACAAAGTCTAGCTATAATCATGACCGTCATGCTCTGATGTAGCCTTTGCTACCACAGATGTGGAAGACTTCCCTTCCCTGCAGCATCATTCCCATTTATTGGGTGGGGAAGCTGAGACACCAAAGTGCCTTCAGTAAGGTGTCTCAGCTCACCCCTCAGGGCTGTGGTTATAGACTCAAGGTCTCCAACATTCACAAGGGGGTTTGCCCACTGGTAAGTTTGAAAGGTAGGATCAGCAAGGGGCAGAATTAATGCTTTTTGAAATGGGCTGTGAACCCTCAGACTTCAAAGCACAAGAGACTCCAAATCAATGGGGCCTGAAGGAGAGGTTTCCCATGGGCAGACTATGCTGCATCAGCCTATCTTGGTCTTCCATGCCTGCTTGTACATCCAGTACTGTATTGTGGGTGTGCACTTTGTCTCAAAATGCTCTTCTTGCTCACTCAGTGCTTCACTCTTGTTTCCCAATGAGGTTGCAAACACGCACAAGTAATTTTCCTTTATATCTTGACAAAAGCAGGACAAAATTCCCTCCTAATGGCAAAATCAAATATCCCTTATGAGAAAGTTTCCAGCAAGAATAAAACCATTTTCAGCTACTGTCAAAGCAAAAAATGCTGAATACTGAAGTGCAGTAGGTGGGGAACAACAGATGCGTCACCTAGGGACAGACATCTCTTTGCTATGGGATGAAAAACCCAGCACCAGGGCACAGAGCTGGGATGCTCCAAAAAGATTTGGCTGGACTTATTTGGTCATGTGCCTACCTGCCAGCTAACGCAGCAAAAAAATTCATTGTCCAAACTCAATGAAGGGACAGGACAGGGGCACATACAGCAATTGTTGTAACCCAGTGGGTACCTTTAACCTGTTTGGCTCCAGCAACTCAGCCACAAATCTCCTTCAAAAGATTTGGGAGATGTGGGGATGTTTTCACTGTGGACGCAGGCTCATAATCATTTTTTAAGGGCATGGACAGTCACCCAAGTCTCACATATGGCTCTGGATCCCCAGGAGAACAATTCGGTGCGTGTTTCTAACAGAAAATTAATTAACAGAAACACAGGGCCATCACCATGCCACACACAGCAGCCCACCAGTCTGCAGCAGGTCAAGGCTTGGGGGAAAAATCCACATGCAAACCCCAGCACAGAAGAAGCTAGACAGCGCCAACCCAAACTGCTTGGCTCCATGGAAACTGCTGGTCACGTTGCTCCAGCATCATTACCGAGGTAACACCACTCCCAGATTTCTTCTTACATGCAGCCACTCTCTTCTTCTCCAGCTCCTGATGTCCTGAGTGTAGAAGAGGGATGAATTTAGTGTGCTAGGACCTGGAAAATGTTCTAGGCATGAAGGGCTGGTTTGTGGAGTAGCTTGAGACTGTCTCCACCAGTATCTCAGCCATTCCCACTCCGGGATTCTCCCCTTGGCTCTGACCTGCAGCATCACCTCCTGTTTCTTTTCTGTCCATTCCCATCTCTCCTTCCTTGGTCCATCAATCTCACCTCTAGCACTGCCAGCTACTCCTCTCCAGGGCCTGGAGTAGGCTCTGGCTACGTACCTGGTGGTTGTTTGATTGCAGACAACTCTATACCACTATTTGTCTTTAGCCATCACATGAACTCACCTTCCTTTGGGATGGGAACAGAGAGAAGACTCCAGCTCTTCTGATCACTCTCAGAACAGATCCCATAGCCCAACACACTGCTCAGCAGCAAGGAGTCTTCCGCAGAGAGGTGCTGACAGTCACAGCACACTGTAGGGTCCCAGCTGCACGTAGAGCCAAAGGGAAGGGGTGGCAGAAGAAGAGCTGTAACATGCAAATACCGCATGCTGCTTGGTGTCCTACTGCTGGGGTCTGCATTCTCAGAAACAAAAATCTGCTTGTAAAGAAAGAGTAAACTAGAAGAAAATACAATAGTGTTTACCAGCACAGGCAGGATGGTTTTACCCCCTTTTCCTGCAGGAACACATCTTCCAGGTCAGGTAAAGACAAGCAGAAGGACGTGGGCAGTGTGCAGTGGGGACGCCTTGCTCTGTGGCAGCTTACAGCATGCAGCGTGGTGCCTCCAGCCCCATCCTGTGCAGAAAGCCAGGATCTCAGTCTGGGAAATGGGATGTTACATGGGACCACTGTCTTGCAAACCACTGGGTCACCTGGTTGTGCCCAGGCAGCTCGGCTGGGCTCCCTTTAGCTGGTGCACACTTTTCTGAGGAGGCATCGCTGCCTGGCTGCCCCAAGGTGTACCTGCCTCGGGGATGGAGAGATACCGGGCATCATCTCCACGGGGCTGGTACCCGAGTGAGCTCACAGTAGTGTGTAAAGGGAGACCTGTCTCCAGAGCAGTGAAACGCAGCAATCCTCACCACAGAGAAGTTTAATTTGCCAATGTTTGCATTATCTCTTTCTCATGCACTACTTAGAAAGTACACACACACACACATGCATACATAGATACTAAGAGAAGCTTTTGATGGCCCAAATTAGCTGTCAAGGTGCCTTTTCGTTCCTAAGGATCAATATTGTATAATGTAACAGCCACAAAGTATGTTCATTACTCTGCAGGGCTGGTTTAACATGCTCTCTGGATCCCTTTGGCAGTATTTCCTCCTCTGTTTGAGCTGGCATCAGAATTAATGGCATGTCGTGTTCTATAAGTCCTGACTTTTTAGATGAAAGGTACATGGTGTTGTTCGCATCAGTATTACAGTGTAATAAATCAATGCTTTCCTGTTGGAAGGATTTCAGACAATTTCACAACTTGCTCTCAGGAACTCAAAAGACAACCTACCTGCCAGGCCATGGGCCAATGAAAAAAAAAATATACACACACATACAAAAAATAATAATAATAATAGTTGCACTATTGTTACCTGCTTTGTACAGGACTCTGGAGTCAAAGCAGCGATCCCAAAGCTCCATCAGGCCTCACTGCACAAGGTGGTGTGCAGCTCAAGGGAACAAATCCCCAGCACCAAGGAGGTTACAGGCAAAGCTGGCAGAGGCTGGGGAGACAGAGCCTGATCTCTCTTTACCAAACAAGAGCAGAGACAAAAGCAGGGTCCCAGGGCTTCCAATTTTCAGAAAAACAGCAGGAAAGGGGAACAGGAACAAAGACAGAACATATATGCTGGGACAGAGCACCCAGAGATGCCACAGTTATCCTTCCAGCTTCTGTGGCAGCTGCTGCCCAGAGTGCTGTGCACTTTCCTAACATCTTTATGAGTAAAACTTATATTCCCCTGATCCCAGGAGCACACGTGCAAGACAGGGAGAGGCTGAGCTTGAAAGGGGAGCCGTTTTGCTGCCTCAGATTAGCTCAAACTATGTGATAAGCTTTCCCCTCTTCAAAACCAATGTTGTTAACCTTGAAATCTGCATTATTAATATTTCAACATGAGTTCCATCAGGAGCTGCTGAAAGATCTGTCCTGGACTCGTGACAGCTCGTCCTGTTTGATTCTAATCATATATGAATGCATGAGCTAAGAAGACATCATTAAAAGTACATTAAGTTTAATTATGCTAGCAGCCACAGACAGTGGGAGCATCGGCTTAATGCAGAATGCATAATTAGATCAGGCCCAATTCATTAGGTTCATATTTGTTAAAGAAAATGCTCCTGGTCTGGAAGAGTCTCTATGATGGGACCCACAGCATTTGGGGGAACGGCTTTGGTTTGGTTTGGGGGGGCTACTCCCAGCCGCCCCCTCCCCTGCAAGGCACCCTCGTGCAGCTCCTCGCACACGGTGTTTCACGAGAGCAGGGGCAAAGCCAGGCCTGGGGGAAAGGCCTCGCACTGGTGGCCAGGCCTGGGCAGCTGCCACCATGTTTGTGGCACTGCCAGGGGCTGGCAGGGCCTGGGCAGGCCGCAGGCACAGGAGCCCCCGGGTGGGTGCACGGCATCACATCCCAGTCAGACCAGTGCAAACGGAAATTGAAAAGGGTGCTCCCAGTGTGGCCTTTTGTGGAATCCAGCCACTGCAGGCTGCAGGGCAGGTTGGGACGACTTGCCAAACAAACAAACAACAAGGCAAACAAAAAACAAGGCAAACAAACAAGCAAAAAGGCAAACAAACAAAGAAAAAGCCAACAAACAAATGAGAAAAAGAAAAAAGAAAGAAAAAAAAAAGAAGAAAAAAAAAAGAGTTTCAGATCCTCCCAGGGCCAATGCAAATACCACAGCAGGGGCACTGGGAAGGCAGGGCTCCAGGGGCATGGCCTGTCCCCCCTCCCAGCAGCTCAGCAGCCTTACAGCTGTAAGCTTCTCCTCCAAACCCACACCTGCACCCCCAGCTCATTCCCTCGGGTTGCTGTGGCTCGGTGCTCCTCAGCTGGGCTGCAGAGACCCTATAGCCACCTGGAGCAGCAGCAGCAGATCCCAGCCCAGACCCCACAGCGGTGGCCACTGCCTTGTTGGGACATTTCCCAGCTCCTGGGGCAGCCCGGGGGTTATGCAGGAGCTGATTTGGTCCAGGAGGGATCCTGAGAGTCCCATGCCCACTGGCTCTCATCATGGCAGGAGCTGCTCGTGCTTAACAGCTCAATTGAGCCCTCTAACACCTGCCTAAGTTCTGAGTATTATTGCTGTTAAATTATAGTGGCCTCTTGGTGCCTCTCCTCTG